TATAATAGAAGTATTAAGTTATGATGGAAAAAATCTAATATTTGTAAACACAATCCATTCATAAAGTGTTGTATTACTATAAATTAAATTTTTTTATTTTTTTTAAATATTAATATAAAATATGTTATGATATATATTTTGATTTATGTCATATTTCTATTATTAATAATATATATGATAATAAATATGATTATCATTTCTAAAATTTTTATTTCAACGAAAAAAATTTAAAGTGAAATTTTTTAGAAAAGAAAAATTTTTATAAAAAAAAAATTTTATAATCGATTGATATTTTATATACATATAATAATACTAAATTACATTTTAATATTATATATTATTAGAAATATATTTTTATTAAGATTTGGTATCATAGAAATATATTAGAATAAAAAAGACATAATAAAAAACATTTCACTTTATAAAATTTTTTATCTTTAAATCAATTAGCAATAAAACATAGATTTGTTAGATATATATAAATTGATTAAATATTAGTTAAATTTTTCTGATTATAACGATTTTCAATCATGTTTTTTAATTTAAATGAGAAATTGCTATTAACAAGTTACTTAAAAATATTAAATTATTATATTCAAGGAAGTTAAATTTGATTAAAAAAACGAATTTAAAATAGTAAATATTTTATAACTGTATAACTTATGCCAAAATTCATTTTTATTTTGATATAGTCTGTCAATAAATTGATTAGCCAAGTTTTATAAGTCAATTGATTAAATCAGTCATTTAATAGACACACAAATAGAAGTTGGCTTATATTTAGATAATACTTTTAAATTATATTTAATATTATGTATTTTTCTAAACAATAAAAGAAATATTTTAAAGGAATAGGAGTTTTCTTATAATTAAATTGCAAAAATTGAAATTAAAATTGCTTATTGTATTATTGTTAAAGTTTTATTTAATTAAGCAGATAATTAAATTGATACAAACAATATTATATACTTTAAACAAAAATTATTTAAATAATTTTTTAGATCTTAAATCAATAATAATTGATATAATTATATTGTTTATTCAAATTTAAATATATTACATATCTAATAGTAATTGTACATTGGATAAACTTTATATTTTTTTGATAAATAAAAAAAATATAAGCTATGACATTAAATTATTATTAAATCTTCAAATTATTAATTTGATTATTTCAAATATTTATTAATTTGATAAATTTTTTATTTTATTTTTAAAAGTTATTTTTGCAACAATTTATTTATATATTTAAATTTCAAGCAATGGATGATTGATATAATATATAACTTATAAATATTTTAGAAATTGTAAAATTTTTTTTCAATTTCTAAATTTATATTTAAACATTTTCATTTAATTTTCAATTATGAGTCTTCTTTGTTTAATTTATTCCGTGCTAGGAACTATAGTAGTAGTGACTACATAAGGTTGAATACCTTCTAATTCTTCTTTTGGCAGATTTTCCATAAGCCAAGCATCAATTACTGGAAGATTTTTTTCACTCCATTCTTTTATTTCCATTTTGCAACATTTTTGTGTCATAAGATCGGGTGGGAATTCATCTGAATGACTTTCATACAATTTACGCAATATATCTAAACCTTTTTGATTGCTAAATGAGGAAATTGCAGATTCCACTATGCGGTACCAAATATGTTTTTTATCGTCAAATCTTTCTTTCACAGTATCCCAATTATCTGTTAAAAAGTTGAAGAGGGTTGTATAACCAGCTGCACCACCACTCAATGTAACAAAAATTAATTGGATGTCTGAATCAGTAAAGTTTCCATTTTGATTGAGAATTGTTACATTTAACAATCTGTAATATTGTTATTAAGAAAATGAATAATTATTATTTTTCTAAATGAAAAAAATATAAAATATAATTTTTATTGCTCAAATTTTTTTAAATGTTTTAATACATTTTAATGAATTAATCAAACATAATTATTTATGATTACCTTTCGATTTTATATGTGTCTTTTGGACAACCAGCTAAAGATTTTAAAAGATAAGTTCGTTCATTTTGTTTCCTTTCTGGACTGTTTTGAGGAAAATTTATAACACGTTGAAGTCCAAATTCCCATTCTTCTTCGGTACCCCATTTGAATACCGGACAAATAAATTCATTGGCGACTCTATAAAATAAACAATATTAATTTTTATATTATTATTATAATAATAATTTATTATTATAATCATAATAATAATTAATAATTAATAAAATTTAATCTTTAAAATATAATAATATTTGATTGATAGAAGTTTTAATATAATTTTAATATAAAATACATAATTTTCAATCATTTATTTAAGTTATTTTAAAATATAATATTAATATTGCAATTGAAATTATAATTATCTTTTAATTTTTAGGAAAGATTATATACTTCTATTACAAAGAATTATTTTCTGAATAATTAACAGTATTAAATGTAAATACCTGTTAAAAATTAAATATTTTAACTATCACTTGCAATAAAATAATTATAATTTTTATTTTCAAAATAATAATAAAAATAATAAATTTACGAACGGATTTCCTTTATCCGGTTCCTTATCAGTCAACCATTTTTTATATTGATCCCGCGCTTCATTAACACATGGTTCGTATCCAGCACGACAAAGAAAATTTTTTGTCATTCCTCGCATGTGAGTTTTCCAAGATGGTTCATTCGTCTCAATATTTTTATTAAGTTCCTCGTACAAAGGCTTTAACAATGTCCGTATGTATGCCTAAATAAATTTCTCATTCATTAACTGATTTTATGAAAATTTCACATTTAATTTTTTTTTTGTTGCAACAAAAGTAATTTATGTATGTTAAATATCATATATAGAGAAATAGAAAATATTTACCTCGAATTTAGGATATACTTCAGTTCCCTCGATACGTCTACCTATGTGATCAATCATCATAAAAACTGGCTCCCATACAACGTGGCTCCTTTCTTCTTTCAAAAAGAGTGTCATATTTAAAGCGATTCCGAAACAAAGTTCTCCGGAATATGCTAAATTCCAAGAATCATGAAGAAGTTTTGCTCTGGTTAAAACAGGAATCTTTTCTCGATTTGGACTTTGTAAAAATTGTGATAGCATTTTCCAATTACAGGAATCATAATTTACCGGGAACATGCCTATAAAATCATTTTTTCGAATATCATACGTTACAATGAAATTGTTTTATTAAATCGATTTAATTATCCAGTAAAAAATTATCAAAGAAAATTGAAATTTATTAAAAAGAAAAGCGATTATTTAAATTATTTATCAAAGAAATGAAACGGATTTAGATTTATATATTATTTTAATTTTAATTTATATTACTATTTTCATACCTATTTCCTCTGGATTGACGATGATAAAATGATTTTCATTAGTATTATCTGGAACAGTGAGATTTTTTGCTGAATTTCCTTTCGTCAACCACAGGTGACAAGGCTCTTGAAATGTTAATTTTTCTTGGGTCATTATCACTATTGGTATATCCCATTCATAAGAAACTTTGGGTGCGGAATCTCGTGTAGTTTCTCTGAGGTAAACTTTCTATAAATATATCCCAATGTGAATAATATTAACTTCAATTAAATTAGAAATGAACAATATATTGAAATATTTGAATAATAATGAATTAAGTTCAAATTAAGAATAATTTATTATTTAAAATATTAAGAATAATTTATTATTTTGTGTATTATTTACATATATAACTATCATGATAAATATATTATCACGTACAAATTATAATTATTTGTGTTACTGTTTCTTTCATAATAATGAAACGATGTTATCTCAAGAACTAAAGAATATCCACCATCAATGACCTAAAATAGTATGTAAATATATTCTATTGTACATTTTTATTTGGATTATACCGTTAAGATTACTTTAATGGTTTTGTTAAAGATGGAACAGCATTTTTTCGTTCTTCAAGGGTAAAATCTTCATTGTATTGTTATGCTCATGCAATAATTGCACATCCGTCCGGTTTAAATTATTTCTACATTTTAAAAACTAATTAAATATTTTTTATTTAAAAAAGAAACAAACCTTGGAATTTATACAATCACTTGTAATTCATATATCATATATATATAAGTAAAAAAGAAAAAAAAATGCTTTTTAAAAATTACATTAAGATAATATATCTAAATCTTTTTTTACAATATACATTAGATTATACTAAGAAAAAAAAAAATTATATGTCAATACAAAATATCAATAACAATTGATTTGCAACAAAATATAATTTATTTACTCAAATAAACTATAAAAAAACAATTTAAAATATAGAAATATATTTAATAAAAATATTTTATTTTTAAATGTACAAAAAATACTTTAAAGGAATTAAAAAATGAATGATACGTATGATTTCCATGATATTTTCTGCGAATTAATTAATATACATTTATTGTATATTGAAATAAATAAAAATGTGTTGAAAAAATTGTAAATAAAAAATTGTGTAAAAAAAATCCTATAAAAAAAATAAAAAAATCCTCATAAAAACCGATCTAAGTATATCATATTTCTTAATGTTTTTTTATATACATGTAACATTTTTTTAAAATTAAAAGATACGAACAAAATTCTGACTTATCGAAACTTATCGAATATAACTTTTCGTTATATAAAATTTAAAATTTATTTAAAAAATAAATATTATTGATCGTGCAATTGATTATATTATTCTTTTTTTGTTGCGTTCACTCTCGATTTGCATATCCACATCGTTACGTACTTATGCAAGAGGAGAACCGACTTCATTCAAAGCGCCCATAAACAAATACAAGATTGCATTTCGTATTCATTGATGGTTTTATCCGTGTGAAAATCATCACTATCTTTATGCTTTTTTGCGTCTCTGAGGTAAGCAACGTTTTTGCTCGGTAAGATTGTAAGCAATAATTGTAAGTACACATACCTGGCTAAGTGTAAGAGTTTGTGTTTCATAATCGCGGATTACGGTGACTAATGGTACCCTATCTCGATTGGTCCACGGGCCTGCAATGCTGTTCACTGTCAAACCTTCTGGCAAAATGTTCATTTCTTTCGCGACATCGTTTAATCGGCTGTAAATGTCATCTGCAAAAAAGGTTCGTAGATTCCTGAAAAAATTGTATTTGGTGGGTGAACAGAAGTGAATAAAAAATTCAGTCGAGAAAAATAGCCGGGAAACAGTGTTTCTGAAAATGATTTATAGTCTAATAAAATGGGGGAATTATTTTCGAGATAAAATTATTTTTCTTCTCAAATGTTTATTGAAATAAGAGGATGTTTGAAGATAAAAACGAAAATAAAATTCAAATAACTAAAAGTGCTTCTTGTATAAAAATTTTGAGAAAATTTGTAAAGTTCAAAATAATGCCAATAAATTAAATGATATATATATATATATATATATATAGACTAATATAAAAGATAATATAGACTATCATAATAGAAGAAATTAAATTCAAGATAAAAGTTTTTCTATAATGATTTTTCTAAATATTTATGAAATAATGTAAAATATTAAAAATATTTTTAAAATAATTATTTTGTAAATTATTTGACATTATTAGAATGTAATTAAAGAGATTGCAAGAAACATTAAATTTTCTGTTTTTTCCATAATATATAAATATAAGGAATATTATTATAATTTTTTTGATAATCATTAATTTAAATAACATTTATTAGAATTTAATTATTGAACTTGCATCTAAAATCTGCTTCCCGGCTAACTGATAAAAACAATTACTACTCTTCTGAATTCTGTTGAATGAAATTTCTAACGCCTTTCTGGAATAATTTCTCTCCAAGAGTGTAATTGAACATCCGGAATACCAGTTCCGCTATAAGAAGAAAAAAATAACGTAATTAGACTTACATAATTAGTAGCAATTTGATGTGCTAATTATGATAATTTTTTTTCAATAGTATATAAAATTGTTAAAATTTTCAAAGTAATCATTTAAATAAAAATTATCAAGTCTTTTATAATCTTAAATATCTTTTATAATCTTTTTTTTTATAATATTTGAAACTTTATTACATCATTTTTAAATACTAATAATTAATATTTCTTTATTTATTATATAATATATAATATACATTCGAAAAGTTTAAAATATTTTATAAAAATTTTCGCATATATTAATATTTTATATATATTTATATATTCTGAAAAATCAGTTTATCAGTAAAAGAAAAACGGAGTCGTAAAAAAATACATCTGCATAATTTGGTTTTATTTTCTACAATATTTTTTATCTCCAAAGATTAAGTTAAATAAAAAAAATCTAGTCATAATGTATAACTTATGTTATAGAATATGCTTTAAAATTTATTAGAACAATGTATTTAATAAATAAAATATATATATTATAAAATATAAATGAATAAATTACTCTAAAGATATCTTGTTCAAAATACTTAAGAAATTATTAAATATAATTGTTTTAATGCATTGTATTATATATTAAATTATATATTAAATAATTATTATTAATGATAGCTTTTATAAAATAATTTAATTAAAATTTACTTTTCGCTGATGTAGCTTCATTCCTGATTCCCCCAACTCTCGAAAAAGGTTCAAATTTTCCAAATTCATAATAAAGAGAATATAACAGAGTCATTGGCCATTTTCCTTCCATTTCATCTGGATTAAGCTGCAATAAATATATCATTTTCATAAATTAATTTTCGTGCGTGTACGAATTATAATACGTACATTCACGGTCGTCATTGAAGCTAAGAACGAATTAAGTGCTTTGTTAATTGGTGCATCACTCCAACGGAATGGTGTAATATATTGACCGATCCATTGATAAATTAGTTCATAAGCCGTATTCCAAATTGAAGGACTGCTTATTTCACTTTCCCTATTAATAATCAAATTATTAAATACTTAAATAATTATTTGTATATTTGTACCTGCAATAGGTAACTTAATAACCCAAACTTTAACTTATTATCATATGAAAATTATTTTGGTCAAATAATTAGAATACAAATATATAATATTCAGACTTATATATTATAGAAATTTAACAGAAAACGTGATTTATCATATATTTTTTTTTTTAATTTTTATTTGTAAGTAAATTATTAGTATTTAAAGTTATTTTTGCTTAATGTTTTATGCATATTTAATAGTAATACAGTATATCAAGTAATTCATAAAATTATATGAAAAGAATTAATATCGATTTTAATAATATTGAGAATTATTTATTTAATTACAAAATTATGTGCGATTATCGAATTATCGATGTTTTATATTATGAATCGAATGTAGATAATTTTGGATACCATAATTTCAATGGTTGATTCATACTTGTTGGTAATTAATCTATAATATAGTTATCGATAGTGTTATTCATTAAAAAAATATTAATAGAACTAATAATTTAGAAATTATAATAGATTCAACGAATCAAAAAATTTGATATGATTTTTTTACAAAATTAAATATTAAATTTTACATTTTATTCAAATTTTGAATAATCTGCCGAATTCTATTACTCGACGGTCGGTGATATCAAATCCTTTTTATCAACGAAAAAAAGCTTTTTATATAATACTTTATTGATTATTTTCCTATATACATATATATATTTCGTTTTTTTCTTTTCTAATTCTCAAAAAAATATTAAATATAATTTTATTTCATATTTTAATATTATATTTCATTTGATATTTTCTTTACAAATAATCTGCGAAATATATTTAAAAAATATTTAAAAAAAAATTAAATATGAATTTTGAAGATATATAATAATTTTTAAAAGATAAATTTCTCCACAATTATCTTTTTATTATAATTAAAATTTAAATTATAAAAATTTTTTTATTTAATAAAATTTTAAAATACACATTACTATAGAGACACATATTATATATATGTTTTGTATATTAAATAATTAATATATAAAATTATAATTCATAGATTATGTATTATTATTTTTTAATAAACTTATTAGATTCATATCGATAAATTTTATTGTTAATGATTTATTTAAGTAAATAAAAAATATCTACTTATTAACATATCTAAAGTCAAGATCATTTATGAAAAACCAATATTTGGAAAATTGAATATATTTAAAAAAAATTATTGATAAATCTAATTATATATGTATGTAATCTATTGTAACCTACCTATAACTTAGGATAATGATTCATGAATGAATATATCAGTATTTTTAAATAAAATTTATAATATAATGATATTAATTTTAGCATGCAAATAAAATAAATAATCAAATTTTTCACTTATTTCAAATTTTGTACATTATCACGTAAATAATTTTTTCTTAAAATTTTTATTCGTTTCTTTATAATTTTTCAATAAATTTCAATAATGTTGCAATAGAAAAATGTTAATAAAACTATTATTGTTTACAAAAAAATATATAATACTCAAATAACATTTATTTTTTCATGCTCGAAAAAAGTGTGATAAACGATACATACTTGAAGAACATCAAACCCCAACTGTCAGATGCTTTGGTAGCACTGTACAAAGGAACTGCTACCAAGTCGAGTTTTGGCAAAACAATCGAGCTGTTGAAGTATTCTTGTAAATAATTCATAATCCTGACAACTTTGTCAGGTACGTCCTTTAAAGAGTCCAAATACTCCTTTCGACCCCACACTTTAATCTCGAGCTTTCTTCCATCCATTTCATTGATTTCCTGTGTGGGCGAGATACTCTCGAAGTCCGATACTATCAGAGCCAATTGATACGTTGATATTTCCGGTGTCTTCGAGAAATGATCCCAGATTAAATCCGGCTCTCCATCTCTGAGTAAAAAGAACATATTTTAATTGTAAACTTTTTTACACAATTGAAAAGAATTTCGAGCTATTTTAATTTAATTAAAAACTTTGAACACTGATTGTGTTCGATAATTAATGATAAGAATATTGTTCGTAGATTTAAGAGATTTAAGATATGCTTTATATACACTTTAATTAGATATTAGCTTATCAATTTAAGGGTACAATTAACTGATATTGATTTTTTACAATCTAATGAATCGAGCGCAAGAACTTGGGGAACTTTTTGTTTCAAATTTTTAGATTTTATCATTGCAGAAAAATATAATAATATAAAATTATAAATATATATATATTTAATATATTTAAAATTTTGTTTTGAATATTTTTGATTCATAATCATTTTCGGGTGAATATCATCGATATCAAAGTTACAATATTAAATAAAATTAAATTAAATCAACTTTTAATACAATGTTCAATTTTTAAAATGAATTTTCTTAATTAAATATTTTTCCTTATTTGAAATATTCTTTAATTTATAATTTCGTCTCGTATAAAAAATATCCTCGACATGCCATTAAACAAATTTATACATTCGCAAAAGATTAAATAATGAAATTAGGATGGAGGAAAAGAGAATATTATAATACAAATTACTTACATTTCCGTACTGCTCTCGAGAGGTGTGTTCGAAAGGGCGATCATATTTTTCGGGCGTAAGACGCTCAGTTTGAAGGTCGCTTTGTAAGGAGGTTCATCCATACAAGGGAAGACAGTTTGCGCGCTATCCAATCTGAGATTAGTAGCCACAAAGGGACTGGAAAAGAAGATATATTACGCACGTTGCGAGATTCCTTTTCTCTTAGATTACGTGTAAAACATTGCAATTACTGTTTCTTTCCATTGGCGTCGATGTATTCGTTTTTGAAGAAACCGTTACTCTCATCGGTGGTAAGGTTTCCGGTGAAAATGAGATCTACTTCGCAGCTACTTCCCTTTTTTAGCATCTGCTGGAGATGAATTGCGTAAGAAGATGGCCATGAATTAGGACGAGTGATTCTCGCAACGTTCACATCCATCAGTGGCAAACCTTTCTCCCTTTTTATTTATTTTTTTTTAATAAACAGATATTAGTTTTGAGAGATAATTTAAACAACTAAAAATAGTAATAATAGTAATAATTAAATAGTAATAATTGAATAGTGATAAAATTATTTAATTATTTGGAGTTAAATTAGTTTATTTATTAAATATATTTAATAAATATAATTTATTAAATATAAAATTATATTACGTATAATTATAATACAATTTAATTTATATAATTATTACACGAATTAAATTTGATTGTATATAATTCTTTCGAAAAATTGTGTATTAAAGATTTATTTGAGAAAACAATATTTTTTAATATTATTATTTATTGATAGCATATACTTTTTTTTGATATATTTCATATACTTGATGTTGTAATAATTATTAATTTTAGTTTTTAGTATTCGTAAATAGAATTTTATTTAATTAAATCGTATTTTATTTTTTCTATTTTAATTTGTAAGTGAAAATTTCTTGATAACAATTTCATCTTCATGAAATATAAAAGTCAATATATATATATTTTGATAAATTTTTTTATTAAATTTTTAGAGTATATTAATTTAAAAAATTTCCAATGATTTCTATCCAAAATTTGCATTTTCATTAATTATCTTTAGACTGAATTCATTTAATTATTAAACATTGCTTTTTAATTTTTTATTTTAGAGAAAAGTATTGCAATTTTTATTGAGCACTATTAGTTTCTAAAAGTTCATTCAATATATTACATCACAAGCAAAAGACTCTATATTTTCTTCAATTAATAAAAGATGTAATTAAATCTTAAAAAAAAAATTCGATTCTCCTAAAAATAATAATAATGTGTTTATGTATCTTTTAAATACGTAATAATATTTTGCAAAATTGGACATTTTTTAATAAATATATTATTTTGATATTATTATTAACATCGTATCTTATTCGTATTCTGTTGTTCCAAATTTAAATTTCTCTAATTAAATTCGCTTCACAAAGGAAAATTCTCTTTAATAATATATACTATAAATAATTACTATAAAATTATCATTATTAAAAAAAATTAAACATCAATTATATTCGTATATTAATAAAAATTATCCAATACAGAATATAAATTTAAATCAATAAGATATAATAATTTATATCCTTATCTTTTTAAAAACTGTTCGAAATATCTATTTCAAAATTATTGCATGAAATATAAATGATATATAATAATAAATACAATTTAATTTAAAAAAAAAATGATTCATTTCTAGAATTATTATTTTATGTATAATCATATTTCAACTTGTTTTCTATCATATTAATTAACCAATCATTTAAAGTTTTATTCAAAGTTAAATTAATTCTTGTTTTTCAACTTTAAGTTTATCGCTTGTTATTCATTCATTCAGTAAATTTACCTTTCCTCCAACGACATCTCCGTGGCCTTAACATTATACCCCGAGATGTCAAGATGTGGGTGAGCATTTAAAATAATTGTGTCGCTGGTATCTGTCCAAGTGACATTGATCTTAATTCGACCTTTGAATTTATCGTTCCCAATAAAAGGTTGAAGTTCCAGGTGGTAGCTGGTCGGCACCACTTCCGTTGGCAATCTGCGCTGGCTTGCTTTCGATAGATACACGTCGTTCAGATCTATGCTTCGTTTTGATTTCCATGGTATCTGTAAATTATTTTCTATTTCTCGATCTCGAAATTTATCGCGATATTTTTCCCTTGTGTTATTGAAATACGTAGATTGGAATTAGATATATTTTTCAAACATTTAATATATATCAATATTATGAATGACGTTCTATACGACGAAAATAATTTTTCCTACCGAAAATTTCAATCATGGAAATAGTGTATGTATTCCAAATGATTAATGAAACAAAAAAAAAAACGAATTTAATTTTAAAGAAAGTCAATGAACATAAATATATATATTATTTCAAATTATAATTATTTTCCAAAAGTTTTATAATATGTAAAATTTATTTTTATTTATTACATGAATAACTGAATCTAATAAAATATAATAAAAATCGATATTTTATTGCACACGCACAAACAAGAAATTATATTAATAAAAAAATTACTTACACTAGAAAAAGCTTTGGTATCCTGTGGAAAAATGAATATCAGGAAGAACCCAGTGATAGCTGCTATCCACCTCATAGTTCTCCTGTGGAGTAAGTCGAAACGATTATTTATTTCAACGGGAATGAATCGTGAAAGATAATATAACTGGATGATTCGCGTGAAAAAATAACGTTTAATACAAATAATTTCTACATCGATGAAACGAAACACTTCAGAATTACTACAATTTAAAAATTTTCTATAAACACATAAAGACCTTCTTCTCACTTTATCTCTTTATTATCAGGCACCACGAGTTATCAAGCATCGATCTCAATCAATCGAACTGCACGGGATCTGCTTCTATCGAATTCGAACACTTACTTCGCGATCCTTATCCAACACGTCCTTACTTGCATACGGTGGACAACGATCTAACCGATGCAATTCGCGTATTTTCGAATATCACCCACTTCTACCCGTAGCCAACCAAGGCGTGTTGACGTTTGACCTTGATACCGCGATCCCAATATCCGTGTCACAATGCCACCGAAAGACCAAGTCCGAATGTAGTCGTTGGCCAACTGTCGTCCAACTTTCCGTTCTTCTTCGAACCAGGACCAGGCCTGGTTGGATTGTGCGAAGAAAAGATACAAAAAAGATAAAAAAAAAAAAAAAGAAAAGGAAAAGAAATTGCAACAAAGAATAGAGAGAAAACGTGGACGACCACGTGATGGAAGGAAGATCATCCCTTCCTCCCCCCCGTGGATCGGTGTCCGAAGCACGATGTTCAAAGCGCTTAGATCCACTTAGCCGCGTAATCGGTGGATCGTCCATTATCCAATTCCATCGGGCAAACGTCACAAAAGGGCCTAATCACGCCTGTACCCGTCGGTGACGGACGGAGAGGCGTAACGTGAATGGCCAATCCCGAAAGCATCAATGGAAATTGAGATGCCACGAGCCTACTCTGTGGCATCTATCCGAGTCTGGTACCGTTTCTGCAACCAGGAACCATTGTGTATTCGTTTAATGTTTGAAAAGCGGCCAATTCAGCCGCCTCCGGGCAACCGACGAGTTCGTTTCCGATTTGGTGTCAATTGGAACTGATAGAGAGAAAGAGAAAGAGAGAGAGAGAGAGAGAGAGAGATGTTTTGTGTATCGCGTTTTTTTCTTCTTCGACCTCAACTTTAACCCGTGCCACTCGTCAACTTGTCTCCTCCGACTTTGAGGGTGGGTCGAGCGAGGAAGAGACCTCCTTTCATTCGGATTCACGTCGCATGATCTGGAGCAACGACGATCATTCTAATTCCCTTTAACCGTGTTGCGTGCGTACTGTGTGTGTACGAAATCATGCCCTCCCTTTTGGATATTTGCGACGCCCCAAATAAATTGTATTGAGCAAAATAAAGCAATTATGTGCAATTGTGTTACACAACAACATTCGTTTCGTTGTTTTCGAATTTGTTAAAAGTATAAAATTAAAGTTATTAATGATAGTAATGAGAATGTCATGCAAATAGTTATATGGTGCTTCCCCTTTACGTTGACGATGATTAATTTTTAAGATAACATTTTCTTGAAATATATTTGCTGAAATTGTTATGTAAATTATGTAATTTAAAACAGAGGATGTATATATATATATATTTTTTAAGTATTTTATATAAATAATTATCCTCTTTTGTTATTTATAAATTGTTTAATTTTTCGATTTTCTAAAATTTTTAATTTTACATGCACAATACTTAAGGAAACATCTTTTAGATTTTAGAAACTGAAACGAAACGTAGAAATTGATATAAGAAATGTCAATTTGATGTTTATTTTATCATGTTATAAGCAATTTAAGTTCGCTTCGTTAGATGAAGCAAAACAGAGATAGAATCAAATAGGAAAGACCAATTATTTCATCTCATGCATATACCAGTTGTCAAGAAATAACTATTGGTGCAATTTGTTTGTAGATCTCATTGAATTTTCCTTCGAATAGATTTGATAAATACGCATATATCCTAATAGAATCGCAATTATTATCGATAAATCAATAAATTTATTTCCTACTTAACTTCAAACACTTAACTTGGACGATGATGGAACAACGAAAAGAAAAAAAAAAAAACGAAGAATTACACGCGGTGTAGAAAGAATGAAGAACAATGCGAAGGCAATGATTGAAAAAAGTGGGGGTACAACGTGCATTGGAAGAGTTCTGGCCAGTATTCGCGTGTTGCACTGAAGCTAGAACTACTAATTGCGTTGCACCTGTACGAACGAAGCGCGCCATCGTGGGCATATAATTTTAATCTTGTTTTTCGCGACGACTTCTTTTTTTCGCCCCGGTTCCTTCTTCCGCTTTCTTCCGTCCGCGATTTATTTTCACGTGTAACGATATCGTTCGTTGGTTTCGAGACCGAGGAAACCGGAAGTTGTTCACATGAGCCGAGGATCCATCTCCAGTTGGCAAGATTATGGACGCAGAAATTGTGAGTGAATTGTGATTTCGTTTTCTTTTCTTTTTAACTCTTTTCATTTCTTATATCTGTTCATTTATATCCATTAATTTGTACGTTACTTATTTATATTTATTTATTATGTATCGATAAAGACGATGAAGAATTAGATTTTAAATTAAAATTTTTACAAAAGTTTAATATGAATGATATCTGTATTTATTGGATTATTTATTTCGATGTTTATTTATTTATTTATTTATTTATTTTTATCACGTTTTAATACGAGCGAAAATTATTTTTTGAATGGATAATTATTAATTAAAGAGTAATGTGTAAAATTATATGTTATGATCATTTCTTTTATATTATTATTATTACTTGTAATTTTGAACACGAAGTAGTAAGTATTTTAAATCACTGTTCAATTATAATTATTAACAAAGTATCATTGAAATTCTTTTATTGCTATTCAAGGAATGTGTTACCAGAATATCTATTCTATAGGTAGCTATTAAATGCTATCATCAAGTAGTTAAGAATGTAATAACAATGATTGCACTTTATCTTTCAATGATCTCTTTATATTTTCATGATCTCATGTAACAAGCACGAAACGATTGTTTTTTTAACGAATAAAAAATTTGTAACAATGGATGGGAACAAAAAAAAATAAATATATTAATAAAATGATAAAAGTATAACAACCTTGAAAAGTTATTTGAACCAAATGAAACATCACATTTATTTTAACACAAATATTTATGGCTTGCAATATTTCTTTAATTCTTGAATATATATTCAAACATGACTGTTAATTTAGTTTTTTTTTCTTCAATATTTATCATTCCATAAATTTTTAAATTAACTAATAAGAGTCTATTAAATCTTATAATAATTATAAATTTTTTTTATAAGAAATGCATGCAAATTTTATTGAGAATTTAAATAATGTGATATACTAAGAAATTCTTTTTCATAAAATATATATTCATTACATGAAGTATTAAACATTATTTTTATTATTTCACAAAATATTATGTTGATAATTTATTATTTATATTTTACAATTAGATAATATATAATATATTAGGTTTATAATTAATTTTATTTTTTAAGTAAAAAGTAAAAATAAAATAAAAATTAAATAAAGAATTTTTATATACAGGATGTCTCAACTAAAGGAAACTAAAATCAGTTAATTATTGCATCAATTTTTTTTCAATTCATTAATATTCTTTTTAAAGGAGAAATATACCTATTTATAATACAAAAAACTTTTTCTTTTGCATTGTACATTATTTTTCTTTCAAAATCATTTAAATATCATAAATATTTTTTGTGTTATTAAAAAACAAAATATTTAAATGATTTTTAACTAGAACATTCTGTGTACATATATATGATATATGATAATATATGAATTTTGACTTCAAGTTATTTTTTTAAGAAATTCTTGATTCACAACACTGTAAATATATTTTTGTTTTCTTTTCTCATACAAAGCATTAAATATTTTCACAATCAAAATTAATCACTTTTTATATATTATAAAATTATTATTTTTATTATATTTTGTTTGTTTTTTTATTATTTATGGATTCATAAATGTCCATAAAAATAAATGGTTTCTTGAAGTAGAATCAATCAAACATAAACATTAGTCAAACTCGTGAACAATTTAGTTACTACTTTTTTACGTTTTGATTGCTTAAGTATATTGCTTTTCGTGTCTCTGAAGCGTAACTAATACCAGTGTCTATAGTAACTATCATTAAAAATCGCTTCTTTTTTTCTCTTATTATTCTTTTCATTTTTCATCAAAATTAATTTTGATTCTTCTTTGTATAAAAAGTGTGTATGTATGTATGAAAAAAATTATGAATTAGTGGAAGAAATTAGATTTGTGGTACATAATACGAATTGTATATAATCATGAATCAGTGGAAGAAACCAGATTCATAGTACATAATATGAATCGTATATAATCTTCAGAGGAAACGTACGATCGTAGTTATTATGGCATAATTTGTAAGTACTTGTGATGATCTCTGCGTTACATGTATATGCGAATGGAAGAATTTTCCTGTGTACTCGATATCAAAGTACTTTAATATCTAATGTAATCTTCACATAATCTCTTTATTAAAATATTTTCAAATTTAAAACGATATTTTGAAAGTAAAATTCAATGTGCCGTTACTGTAAAAAGTTACTGTAAAAATTAAAAAAAAAAAAAAAATTCTTTTTTCAAATTTAATTACATACAATATTTAATTAAATTAAAATAAAATAAAGTGAAAATTAAATTATTTCTTTTTTTTTTATTTTAAGATTATTAAAATATCATAGTTTTCACTTAAAGAAATAATTACAATTACAATAATATAAGCATCAACTAATTCAGATTTTCTTCGTGAAATTTAAGTCTACAGAGTTTATGTAGAAGAAATATAGTCCATTTAAACTAACTTCAATACGATTCTCATAGTTTTGCCATCCTCAACGTTATCCTTGTTAAAGTTTATTAAATATTGATGTAAACAACTAGATGAACGTGAATTGGAGAGATTTTGAGTTTCGTTTGTTTAGAGATTGATCACGTACTGTGTGACATAACATGTAACACAATCTCATAGCACATATATGCCGTGAAAAACTATACATCCTATTCGCATACGTAATCCTGTGAAGCACTGTAGTAACCTTCAGCCATGTCGCGTGCGTTATCGCTGTTGATGTATCTTTGGTTGAAGTTATTCAATGTCATACGAAAGTACACATTTCTTTCCTCACAAAATTTCTGCTTATAATCTATGAATTATGTTTCTTATACAATCAATTTTTATTTTTGTTGAAATTTAAAGTTAAAAATAATATTTTAAATTATATTCTTAATATTTATTTTTTAATATTTATAGATTTGACTTGAACTAATAATTAGGTAATTAAAAAAAATTAATATATTCGTGGAAAAATTAATGTTAGAGATGAAAATAAATATAAAAATTAATAATGCAAAAATATTGAAACTTAGAATAATTAATTAAAATAAATAATTTATATTAGATAAAATTTGATAAATAAACTTCAATTGAACTAAAATCAATCTTTCAAAGATATCCTATAAATATATTGTATATATA